CGAATATAAAACTGCATTTGGGGCACATTATTTTGAAGTTATTATCGGCGTAGCCCGTACACTTCTCGAAAGGGGTTTCAATTGAACTCATCGGGGCAAGCTCTTGCACCCACGGGACTTGTAAATTCGTTTGACATATTGGACAGTTCACAGTCGCATACGGAGGATCGTGAACATTGTCCCACGCCAACAGAGTATTTACCTCGAATTTCTCTTTCGAAGCGCCTCCCGGATAGTATTCGAATGACTGATTGTCAATGGAAGCGTTTACAGCCTTCCACGGAAAGCCAGTGGCCCAAAGACTCATCTTCCCAAGACGGAGGCAATCTTCAAGATAATCCCTCGGGTTAAGCATAAACGCGTGCCAGACCATAAGAACGTCTACAAGACCGCCTTCAGTATTAAAAAGCATGATTGTCGGAGATATATAAGCAAATCATGAAGCACTCACCCAATGGCGGAAGATGGTCCCTGGTCCAGAGAATCCTACTCCCCCAAGACGGAAAGTTTTCATATCCGGGGTTTTTCTCGACATCTTGCAGCGTCGTCATTCCTTGACACTGTCCGGGCCCGTCCTGGGGAAGCGTGAAGAACCATTTCTCGAATCTTCGAGCCGCGCGGGCGACATATACCCCCCATCGCTTTTCCCTAACAAGGGCGGCGACTTTTGTTTTACGGTCTTCTGGTGCTTCAGGATCGATGTACACAGCGTCATGCAGATCAAAGAGACCATCTGTTTTAGAAATGATGTCACGCAAGTCTGCAAGGGCTGTAAGGAGCTTTAAATGCGCAATGCACTCATCCGCAGTGACCTGTGCTGACGGCTTTCCTGAAGTGCCAAAGGGCACCTCGAGATTGAGATCCCGTATTCCCTGAACGAGAAACCCTTCACCCTGCAATCCATTGAGATTTGCTTGAGGGTATTGGGAATATTGAGGCGGTATATTCGAAGGTTCTGTGTTTGCAGGTGGAAGGTCTCGCACGGGGCCGCTCTCTTCCCTTGAGAAAGCGGGATTTTTAGACATTGAGCCGGATTCAGAAGGTCGACAAATTCATCTAAGAACTGCCAGTGAGAAGGGAGACATGGACATAAAAGGATTCGAATATAGAATCAACAAACACTTGAAAAGGGCATCACATCATAGAGCAGTGAAAGGCAACAGAAACACGAACTGGATGCGACAAAGAAAGGAGCTGAATGTGGTTCAACAGCTTCATTTTTATATCCTTGTGGCAATCCAGCCCCCATCCCGACCGCCCCAGCCATAGCCAACAGTTGGGAGTGCCCAAGCGTCTCCGTGGTTCATCAGCAGCATGGGCTGTGACCACGGGGTCATATCAGAGGCTGATCGCAAGGCATTGTCTCCCCAGTCAGTTAGGCTCACTGGTAAAGCCTCGCCCCAGGGACTGCCAGCCTTGCATATTTCAACAGCCATTGCAGCATATGCGATATTTGTCTTGTTAAGGGAAAAACGCTGCAGGGTGGATTTTTAGTGTGACCCAAAGTTGGGATTAAAGTGGCGGAGCGCTAACTAACTAATACCACCAGCCAGCGTCTGAAAACATGATTTCCGAGTGATTCTCTTGAACAGCCCAATAATCGATAGTCATGAGACCCTGAAACTTGCCCTTGGGATAGATGCTTGCACTGATCGTTGGTAGGGTGGGCGATGACAGCCATGAAGAATCAAGGTAGATTTTACATGTAGGTTGCTCCAACCCAAGAATAAGCAGAAATCATTAATTAATAGCTATTTCTACATCTGCTTATCGAGTAAATTATCTCTATAAACCGAAACAGCCTTTACAAATACCCCAAAGCAACGGGGATCCGGTCCTTCAAAATCCTGTAGACTAACAAAGAAACGGAGCAAAATGTAATCCTCGTAGAGCATAAAGTACATACATGCAATAAGCAAATTCCCCCGCTGCGAATATAGAAACTCCGGAAAAGCATCGCCATGTGGTATCAATAAGTTAAAAAAAAGATATACGGTAAGCGGCGTCACATCATAACACATTTGCTTTCCTTTCTTCCACTTCGAGTACTTGTTAGATTCGGCCAATCATCCGATCGTGTGCGTTGGTTAAGTCGAAAGTCTGACTGTAAACCAAGGATACTCCGTCCCGTTCGCCTATCGCGATACCCTGTGTTGGATAAAGGCGCAATCCTCGGTGCATCTTGTGAACGAGACCGTGAACGCTGAACACCATGGTTTCTACCGCGTAAAGCAGAGTTGGGGCTTAGACTTGTATTGTTTTGAGTATGCGCGCGTAAGCCACTGATAACCGGGGGTGCTGGTCTGTTGCTCGTGGTGCTAAAATCCACCGTATTCGACTGGGGCCGAATGTTATACCAGCCCCGTGTTTCTGTCCCAGTAGGCGCGAGCGGAAGTGATCGAGTATTCGATGACCTGCTTGTAACAGGCGCCGTTTGAGGGGACGGGGCTCTCGCGGGATTAGTATTGGGGCTCCGGTTGGCGTGTTGCATGGGAGGCTGACTGCTTGTCGCCGAAGGGAGAGCCTGAGGAGTAAATGCGTGCATGGAAGAGTGATGTTGAGTGTTCTGTTGCGATGTCTCTGTTGTCGGATGACTAGGCCCGTCATTTGGATCTACGTGCGTGTTTGGAGAGTGTTGTGGAGATGATGTCGCACTGGGGCTACGTGGCGGATAACCCAAAGAGGAATTAGTTGTATTTAGGGTGGGCAGGTTCTGACGGTTAATAGGAAAAGTGTTGGAGGGATATAAAAGGGCAGGTGCTTGGTCATTCGGTTCGCGATTTACTCGTGTTGAGGATCGTTGAATTACTGCTTGCGCCATAGACTCCAAACGAGAAGTCCTTGATCGCCGCAGACTCTGATCTGCATTATTGCTCGTTGATTGACCCCTTATAGTAGGAAGGAGGGTTCTTTGTAAGTGTTCTGGTAGTGGAGCCTCGGCATTGGGTGTATAGGGAGGTGGCGGCGGTATCCAATTGTCCGCATCGCTTTCGTGTGGCACAGTGGCTCTGGGTGCCCTGACGCCTGATTGAACCTGTCGAGCATTATGGTATCGCGGGTTAAGGCGATTCGAAGCGGCCGTAGCAGCTCTATTGAGGGTATCACGGGATCGCGGGGAAGAATTATTGTAAGGGTTATCTAACAGGGTCAAATTCCCGAGTCCTCCATCGCCGTTCAAAGAAGGTTGTAAATGACGGCGTGCAGTACTAGCGGATGTCGGGATCTGGAGACCGCCGAGCCCTCGTCGACGATTGAGACGAGTCCTTCTCCTCTCGAGCTCAACTTGTTGATCCAAATCTGAGCCTGGTTCTGGTAGTTTGATAGGCTCAACCTCTCCGAGCTCGATTGTTATCTCAGTTTTTTGGCCATTTGACACGGAAAGCTGAAAATCAAATACTATGATTCTCCCGCCATCTATAGGCAACATGTCTCCGGCTGCTGCACCCAGCCATGAACTGACCCCACCAGGGGCTACAGCAACTAGCTTGCGGAATGCTTGGGAAGATACATCCCCTGAGCTCGAGCTACAAACCCATTTGATTGCGGAAACTCCGTCCGGGAGGGGTAAAGGATGCCCGTGAACAAAAGTCTTAGGGCCCTCAATGGTTTTTTTGAGCCGATTAAAATTCGTGGTGGCGGAGTCAGATTTCCAGACTGGTTCTCTTTCTTGACTATTCGTGGATGGCTGTGCTGATGAATCCGTTGCAACATGGTTTTCTATATTGGGAATCCCGTAAACCCATAGCTCTGATTCTTGAAACCCGATAGCCAAAAGTTCCCCATTCCCGCTGGCGGCAGGCAAAAAGTGTGGCTTCGGTTCGTCCCTGTCGGTATCAGGTCCTGGACCCACAAAATATATAGCCGCTGTATTTGGGTTATCAATTGGCGCTAGACGGAAGGCTTTAGATTCAAGGTGGTACCCCGAAAACCATGGCGAGCCGTCCCCGCCATGTACGGTCGGAATCAATACTGCGTGGCTATAGCCATCGTGGACTTGCGGAAACAATATTTGGGTGGTCCACATTCGACTCTCTAGTTCTTGCATTGTGAACTCGGCATTTGGATCTGTGCCCAATGGGGGAGAAATGGTAACAAGCTTCGAGCTGTGCAAATCGTTGGCAGTTCCGAGTAGCATTGAGCCCTGACAGCAAAAGGTTAAGTAATCGACGCCAAAGCATCTGACGGCCCTACGGGCTGTCGATAGCACATCCGTCCCGATCGCATACATTTCAAGACCACCGTCATAAGCAACGGCGAGAACCACTGCATCTGGCGAAAATGCTAGAGCGCGAGGTACTTCACTCAGCTCTATACTTTGCATCAATTCGGCATGACCATCCATAAGTAGGTATATATGCGCCTGGTGTTCCGAGGATACCATAGCCAGTACCGTCCCATTGTTGGCTATAGCAGCTGCGAGAGGGCGTCGTAAGGTTTTTAACTCCTGACGAACTGAGACTGGATGCGTGGTGAGATCAATGACATATATCCTTGAAGAGCTCAGGGCGAGTAACTGGCGACCGTTCGAGGAAAAATCAAAACGGAAGGCTTCGCCTTGTGGAAATGCGGAGGATGAACTAGCTGACGCTGAAACCAGATTTATCAACATCTGCGTCGGGCGCAAAAACACATCAAAGGTATTCCTCCTCGCTTCGCGGATAAACCTGGCTTCGAGTATTTTGAGATCATCCGTTGCTGACAGGCCTGACGCCGGGTCATGGCCGGCGGAGCCTAGCGTACGACACCCGAGTAGGTGATGGTAATAGAGCGTAGAAGACGCGGATATCCTCCTCCACTTTTTGTTCAATAATGTGAGAGACGCAAAGACATTAGCGTCTACAGCATATAGAATCCTGGTTTGGCTCGTGAGTATGCTGCATCAGTAGATCTCAATGAAACTGGGACGGACCTTTCAATGACCTCCTCGGGGAGCCGGCTGAATGCACCAAGGCTAGAATCAACATTTTCTACGCCAGCGCACCTCCTTTTAGGATCGTTAGCCGCCGGTACGCGGGCGCGGGTCTTGCGCGGGCCTGGGTCACTAGCCCTTCGCTCTGAGGTTGGTGGTCGGCTGGAGCCTTGCTGTTCCCTATGGCACCCATCTCTTGCCAGCGGCGAGACGGGGTCGGGTTCCATAGTCTTGACGAATGCCCTCCCAGTTACACATTATCCATGAGAACAGCTGACCGGCGAAGGGATTGGCACCGGCCGGTGTGTCGGTCGTACTGGTGCTTGGACGAGACTTCGCAGTCAAGTCTTCACGACAGCTCACTATCATCATCCAACAACGCTCTCAGAAACGAAGACACAATGCATCATTCCCACCCGCAAAAGACAGCCGAAACCCAACGCTGATGGCAGACAGGAAGAGAGGTTCGCTGCCGCCCCCTCGTCGTCGTCCAGGCCAGCAGCCCTGGATGACCGCCCAAAGCGGCTTAGCGCAGGTCGAACAGCCACAAGCCCGTCCAGCCAATCAAACGCCACCGAGCCAGCCGCCATTCGGCGTTAGGCTCGAATAGGGATAGCGCCGACGTGCGTTACGCCCGCTCACGTGACCGGGCCTGACTCGCCCGAATTGGCCAATCGGAGCGCGCGCGGGGTGAAGATGTAACATTCGCGGTGAGATCCCTGAATATCAAAAACTGGCCTTCCTGCGACAAGCCAGCGGATCAGACAGGCTGTTTGGCTGCCATGATAGACCAGATGCTATCATAATGGATGCATGCGCTGCTTGCGATTACGGCTACGCAGGGTCTCATTCCAATTCGTCACTGTTGGATACACACAGCCTTTGCCGGCTGGCCTATGATTCTCCGCACCGGGCCTGGTCAACCCATCGAATCCCAGCGATATAGCGGCCTGAGTCTGCGAATGGGCTCGCTCATACCCTTCAATTCTTGGTTTTGTATATAATATTATGTCATCTGCTCCAGCCGTGTCCTCTGCGGCGCCCTCGAAAGGGGCGCCGGCGTATACAATTAGCACCGGCTCCCGACCCTACCGGTCTCACAAAGTGAGAGCATGCGATCTCTGTCGCAAAAGGAAATCTCGCTGCACCGTGGATTTGCCTGGCCAGTCATGCCTCTTGTGCCGAATCCAGGGTGCCGACTGCCACTACAAGGAGGACACCGGCTCAACCACGTCTTCTCTTCATGGGAGCAACACCGAGACCAAACAGTGGTCTCCGGCGCCGGCGACTCAACGAAAGCTTAAGAGGAAGTTCGAAGAATCACCCATAGAGCGGGGCCCTGATCGGAATCTTATGAACACTCCATCAGTGACTGCGGCCGCCCAACCATCATCCGCTACACACCGGGACGAACCGATTCTTGACAACCGCCACAACCACAACGGGCTTGGGGGATCCATGAATGAGTCCGTGCATATCATTGGACCAGTTGCCGCTGAGGACGCCCAGGTGATAGAACGCTACATGCCTTCCGAGAGGTCAAGGAAAAGCCCGGACGTCAAGACGCCATATAACGTTTACTCAAACGACCCGAGAAAGCCAATCCTCTATACGACAGTGGCACGGCAAAGGCAAGGGGTGCGATCCAGTGGCGTTCCTGGAGAAAACCAAAAGGATATCATCGAGCAGATCCTGGGCCCGTTCAAACACGATCTCGTTGCCATGTATGCTAGTGACCCTCTCTAAGCCCGACTGCGTATCCGCCCTTTGCTAACTTCCAGTTTCATCCAGATTTTTGGATAAAATCAATGCTCCGTTTCCGATTTTCGATGAACATGTCTTTATGGAGGCTTATAAGCTCGGGGACGGGAGCTTGCCTCCACCCCTAATGTGCCAAGTATATGCCATGTCTCTCATTTACTGGAATCAGTCGCCGGTTCTAGCGCCACATCCTAAACCCGATATTAGATACGCAGTAAATCTCGCCGTTGCTGCTCTTCATGAAGAGTTCTCCGCCCCGGGGTTATCCACCTTGGGTGCCGCCTTGATTGATTTGACTGGGCGTCCAATTTTCTCAATGACCGGGAATGCCATCAACACGGGACGTACTGTTGCGCTTTCACACTGCCTTGGCTTGAATCGTGACCCTAGCAACTGGAAGCTTTCTCAGGCTGAGAAGAATAATCGCATCCGCCTATGGTGGGCTGTGGTTATCCATGACCGATGGTGAGGAACCACGATTTACCGTATAACGAATACTTGCTTAATATGTGCTGTTTAGGGCGAGTTATGGACACGGAGTACCCTCACAGATCTCGCGGAATCAGTACGATGTTCCACTCCCCACAATTGACATGCTGGTCCCACATGCTAGCGCCACCCAACAACGGTTCAGGGCCGCGCACGGATATATTTTCTTGTGTCGTCTTACAGAGATCCTCGGGGACCTGCTTCCATTGGTATATGGACTGCAGCCGAAAAACCCGAAGGACACATCTAAAATCGTACGGCGAATGAGGACGGAGCTCGACAGGTGGGAAGACTCACTGCCTGAGTGGCTGAGATCCCCTCAGATTGAAAACGCGGCCCCAACATCTGGCTCGAGCAGTCTGCAATTAGCCTTCTTAGCAGTGAAGATGCTTGTTTGTCGGATAGAGCTCCAGGTATGGGTCGTCCGGGCAATGTTACTTGGAATTGGAGCTAATCCCTACTCGGCAGGAAATAAACCATTCCGAGAACTCCAATCCCGAAGCCCGTCGGTATTTTCAAACAGAATGTAGAAAAGCGGCAGAAGATATAGTGCAGTTTCTTCTTTCACTTAAAAGGCCGCATTTCCAAGAATTCTGGATGTCATGTATGTTCGAGAAGTTTCTCCTAAGTCAGGTCAGCCAGTGGTGTGCACGCAAATGTGCTGACATGTTGTATAGATAGCGCATACCATCTTACGTCGACGGCGACCTTTCTATTCCGCTGCGCGTTGGAGACTTCTGACCCTGACATTGCACGATCTTGCTTGGCAAACGTCGATACATTCCTGGGCGTCCTCCGAAGAGCCCGCCTTGAGCATGAGTGGGATGTGGCCGACATGTGCCTCGACCATTGCGAAAGGATTGTGAGCAAACATCCAGGAATTAACTCAGAGGAACCCCACGCCTCAGTCAGTCAGCCCTGCGAAATAAGTGACACTCCTGTTTCGATGTCCATGCCAATGCCCGAAACGCCTTGTCATAACGATATCGTTGGAGATATGATGTCCATATCCGGGACGTTTGGGACGATGGACGGCTTCCCGTTTGACATGACCGGAATCTGGGACGTTCCTGGACTTCAGGACCAGGAAAGCCATTTCATGAATATACCGACATCGATGTGATCAAGAGGCGGAGGCCGGTTTCCTTTTTTTTCCTTCTTTGTACATCTTGCGAGTTTGCTTTATTGCGCTTCCCTATTCTTCCACGTACATATATGATATCCTTGGTTTCGCACAGCCTGATGTATATATATAGAGAGAAGAAGTTTCCCACGGGGCCGCAGGACAAGCGGAGCGGTGCCGGCTGGGAAAGCTAGAATCTCGTATCAACAAGCTAGTTATACTTTGCGTCTTCGCCGCGTTTGAATCTTGACACGAGCAGGCAGCCTAGCAATAGTAGTGACGGAGTATTATCTGCGTGTACGGGGGTTGCATTAGCGAGCTCTTTTCCCCAACATCCATTCCGCCATGCAGTAAACGATCTCCTCAGCCGCCGAAAAAGGCCAGTTTACAATCTCGAAATAGTTTCCCGGAGTTTTCCGCGTGTTTTCCCCGGCATTTCGTGCTGCTTGTTCAGGAAGATGCTGGACCTGACACAAGTCCTGAACCACGACCAGACATCAGGTCTCCATCCGCTTATCCGTTAGTGTTGGCCTAGTAGCCCGTGAGCCCACGCCCCGTACTGCCGGTTTCCCCACGCTACTCCGCGAATGATGCCGATATACGACGTTGCAGAGCTTCGGAGGAGGAGCCGAAAAATGGGAAAACCAGCCTATAAAAGATATGCATCCCTCTTCCCTCGGACTTGAAGCCAGCAGTGGAAGAGCGCGGAAAACGCCCAACCCTTGATCGCGCACGCATTGATGCCCTGCCACCCATTTCACAAGCAAACGATCCATCCGAAATCGCAAACCATCCTTGCATCCCATTTCTACAGGCTGAGACAGGTCCTGCGAACGACTGACCCTGTCGCCTGGTGATTTGCTTTTTCCCCGAAACATCCATCCTGTGCCTCATTCATCTCTTATGCCCGCTCAAGCATCAACCATGGCGCCCAGCATCAACCAATTACCCACACAGGGAGCCAGCGGGGGGAAAAATGAAACTCCCAGCTTGAAGGATCATTATTCCGCGTTGCCGAATTTAGTGGCTGCACAACACAAAGCTTCCCATGATTTCCGGTCGGATGTTGTCACAACGCCGACGGCGAATATGATGCAGGTATGCAAAAGCTTCGTGGAGTGGATTTTACCTGTCGTTGGCGCTCTACGGAGTACGCCGTTGAATGATATCTCGTGCTTGATATCCCCTTGCGGCGTCAGAAGGATGCGCAATGTCCTATCTGATTTCTGGGTTACTGCTAACAAGCCTTAATCCAGGCCATCCTTGAAGCAACATTCGCAGATGATGTGATCGATGAAGACGGAGACCCCTCCGTCAGGGCTTTGGAGCAAAGGCTCGTAGAGCTTACAGGCAAAGAGGCGGCTCTGTGGGTGCTCTCAGGAACGATGGGCAACCAGATCTGTCTCCGAACCCACCTAGCTCAGCCGCCGCATTCAGTCTTGCTTGATCACAGAGCGCACATCTATGGCTGGGAAAGCGGCGCCCTACCAGTGATGTCACAAGCGAGCGTAACACCCGTCCAACCTTCAAATGGGATCCATTTGACCCTTGAGGATGTAAAGCAGCATATGATCCCCGAGGAGAACTGTGAGTCCTGACACTCACAATTTCCGATGTGAAACTTATCTGATTCGGATCCAAAAGTCCATTACCCGCCAACAAGGCTTGTTGCGCTGGAGAACACCCTCAATGGGACAATCATGCCTCTGGAACATGCAAAAGAAATCTCAGACTATGTTCGCAGCTATCCTGTCCCGCCTGGCCAAAAGCCAGTTGCCATCCACCTCGACGGCGCGCGGATTTTTGATGGTGTTGCTGGCGAAGGGGTTGACCTCAAAGAATATTGCGCTTGTTTCGATAGTATCAGCGTATGCCTTGCAAAAGGCCTGGGGGCCCCCATGGGTAGTATCATTTTAGGCTCCAAACCTTTTATCGCACGTGCAAAATGGTTTAAAAAGATGTTCGGTGGCGGAACCCGACAGGTAGGTTTTCGACATTGGCAACACGCTGTCCCAAAAGAAAGCAAACTGATATCAGTGGTATGATAGCCGGGCATGATGGCTGCAGCTGCTCTTTCAGCCCTAGCAAACTCCATCCCCCAACTGCCGCGTGTTCACTCACTTGCTAGAGCCACAGCCGACCGCCTTTCCGCACTGGGCTACAAGTTTTCCTCTCCAGTGCAAACGAACATGGTCATCCTTGATCTAGAAGCCGCGGGAATCCCCGTTGCAGCGTTTGTTGACTACTTGACCGAGGTCGGCGTGCAGGTGTTTCCCTCGCCAAGGTTAGTATTCCATTACCAGACGTCGGAAGAAGCGGTGGAGAAGCTCGTAGATGCGCTGGGGCGCCTGATTCAGGATAAACGTGCTGGGAAAGAGTTGGTTGGGAGGAAAATGGTGGGCGGATATGCCAATGGTGACACTAAGTAAGAACCTGGAAGGCGTTCTCATAGTTCCACCTGGGGACGGACAATGCACCTCAGTTCATGGCTATCAATTTAATGTCTATATGAGCCCACTGTGCAGGCATGTAGTCGAGGTAGAAGAAACCACAATGAAAGCCTCATACAATGTGTCTGCACAACAAAGCTATAAATCAGATAGCAACACGTAGAAGTCGGTTCATTTTCAAATATGATACAGGGAATTTTCCTCATTGGATGTATCAGGTATGGGGCCATCAAACTAAAACAGTATAATAAAAGAAGGGTCAAGTTAAAAACAATTCTAGAAGCAGGTGCTGGCAGCCATGCAGTGAGAAATGGCACAAAATGATAAATCCAAGCCCAGTGAACCTAAGAGTTGAGACTGGGACGACCTGCGGAACATCAACCTAACCGGCCAGCATGCATGCAAAACCCAACATAACAGGAACCAAAGTCGATAAACCTCCTTTTGTACAAATGATTGTTAAGTAGAAATTCAGCTTTCAGGTCAGCAATGGCTTGTCCGATACCAAACATAAGGGCTTCATCATGGCTGCCTAAGACGCTCATTTCTTCTCGCCTTCAGTATTTCCGAAGAAACTCGTAAAGCTGGATTTGAAGCCTTTCATCTGCTCTTCTCTTGCCTTCTCTTCCTCTGCGGCCAGCTCTGCAAGCCACTGCTCTCCGTTTTCTTGGATTCCCTTTTCGATCAACTGATACTGCTTCTGTCCTCGTTCTCGGATTTGATCCCACAGCATCTTGCCCTGCTCTAGGCCTTCAGTGGTACTGTGATCCAGCCCGTCGATAGCATTTCCCATCGGCTTAATACCGAAAAGCGAAGCAATAGCACCAACGCTGTGCTTGGGCCGCTTGGCGCGTTCTTCGGCTAACTGCTTCTCGAATTTCTCACGCATCGCCTTTTCCCTTCGGGCGAATTCAGCGGGGATGTAGGTGCCTTCGAATCCTTTCAGGACCGTTCTGACATCCTCAATGCCCATTCCGGCGACGTATTCGAGGAAGGGAATGAGAGCAACGAGGGACATATCTTTCGGGTCACCGTTCCACTTGGGGAGGATGATGGCGTTCTCGGGTTGGCGTTTTGTATGGGGTTCATGGGTGTCGATTATGATGACCTTGGAAAGGTCACGGTTGAGATAGGAAAGATCCTGTTGAACATTAACAAAGTACAATTGAATAGTGGAGCCTGGGAAGAAAATACCTTGACGTATTCGCCATCCTCATACTTTGTAGCTTCTCTAAAGAGAGGCCAACGAATAATTCGATAGGGGTCCAATTTTCGAAGCACTTGATCGGCCATCATGCTGGGGACACTAGTGAACAAGACGAGCTCATAATATTGGTTAAGAATTCTGCAGTGAGCCTCTAATATTCACTCCTGGTCGTTAGACTCACAAATAGGGCTTGCTCTCGAGTCCAGTCGGTGTGGACGAGAAGATCTTCCAAGCTTAGTACTAATGTGTAGGGCTGTCTTATTGCAGGGTCCTCTTCCGGCAGAAGTTTCTCAAAGGCTGGGTCTTTATAATAACTCGTCAGGTCATCAAAACGGGCTTTGATGCGATTGAAGAAAAGACCGAATCCCCATCCCGATGGAGCATTTGGATGAGCCTTTTCTTCTGCTTCCGTATCCCAGTTTCGGCCCAGGTACATCGTCCCAGCCGTGCCTAAGCCAAGTAGAACCGCATATGTCAAATTGGCCATTCTGTTGCGACGGCGTTCAAGCGACGAAACATAGGCATTCTTAGGGATGTCACCACCGCCGCCACTGCCCTCATCACCAGCTGCGCCCTCTTTTTCCGGGTCTTCTGTAAGGTTTAGCCCAGTGGACTTCCGACGTTTCGACTTGGCGGCCAGTTCTGCAGCGATAGTAGACGGGATACCTTGTGTCAGATCGGGAAGGGGTTGTTGTGGTTGTACGGGTTCCGATTCTGCGGCATCTCTCGGGGTACGGTTCGCCGTCTCGAATTCCGTTTGGCTGTCTGAAAATCCGGGAGATTTTGCGCGACCTCCAGGCGGCCCCGTCTGCGCATGGCTTACACCAGCTCCGGCGCCGGTAGACTGCGGAGCGCCGTTATGTTGCGATTCGGGCTTTGATTCAAATTCCGTTTGTTCCTCAGAAAATTCCTTGGGTTGGGAAGTGTTTTGCGGTTTGATGACACGAGGCTTCTGAGCGGGGTTCGAGTGAGAACTGGACGATGGAGCCGACGGGGGCATATCATAGCCTCCAGGCTTGCTGTCTCTGGCATAGTTCCTTGCTTGTAGAGAGGCGTAGGAAAATCTGATAGAAGTGGGAGCAGCTCTCCGCCTCAACAAAGGCAGAACTGCGCGAGTCAGCATCTCGGCGAAAATATATTCACATCAATTAAAATGTAAAGGTAGGTTCTGCGCTCATGATCCGGAACCACGGAGCACTGAATGGAACAGCCAGAGAGAGAGAGATGGATGAACTGTGTGGTGTTCTCTCTCTGCATACAAATCTTCAGCCAACATCTTTTGAGCTTCAACCCAGTTCACTACGGTCGTCTCCAGCAGCCCAGAGTGCAATCCCGTGACTGTCTGTTTCCGGCTTAGCGGATCTCACAAAATCCCGTCAAAATCTCTGCTTCTCATCTGCTTTCTTTCTTTTTCTTTTTTCTCTTCACCAAAATGAAAGTTGAATAACCCATGAATTTGACACTTTGCATGAGATGAAAGTCTCATTTGGTATGCATCGTGTTGTATTAGCTGGGGAGACGAACGTCATCGAGCCCCCCAAGAACGGCTGTGAGATTTTAATGATCGCGTCGTCCCGTTGGTTTCGATACAGACGTTTGCACCAATATTGGTGTGCAATTCTCCAGAGTTGTGTAGATCCGCTCACCCGTTATCTACTATCCTATTGCTGTTCAAATGGCCCTTCACTTTACCGTCGGGATACACTTCAAATCATATATACCTAGAGTAAAAGTTACATCCATTTTTGAGTGAGTAGGTATATGCTTTGCAGGTTGTATAGAGCTTAGGGTTGGAATCGCCTAGAACTGTCACAAGAAGAAACCGCTGTCTACCATTGCAAGCAATTGTGATCCCAGTCCGCTAGTTGTACTGTACATACACAGCGCCCCCAATGAATATGAAGGATGATCCATGCCCAAAAGCCACCTGCACAAAACACATCATAGCTCCTCGTCGGTCTCCATCTTGTCGCCTTGCTGCTCCGTTTTGTCTGCTTCTCGAGCTAGCGAGGCTTCCTTATCGATCATCTGCCGAGATATCGCTACGATGTTGTCTTCGATG